GAGTTCCACTTATGAAGCTTAAACGAGGCTTTTCCGAAGATCTCTGTGGAGGTAGCTTTAATTTTCCACGCCTTTTCAACAGTTTGGTCTCCTATCAGCAAGTCATCCACATAAAGACCCCGCTCAATCTCTGGCACAGCATCAGCGTAATGAGGTCGACAGACGTTGAGGTGATACTGAATGACTCCTCCGAGGAGAAAAGGTGATGGGTCCAGGCCAAACAGAGCTCATGTGAATCGCAGGGTACGTACTTGCTCGGGATACTCTCTGGTGATCCAGTGAAAACGCAGCGCGTCTCGGTCTTCTGCGCGGATACGCACTTGTAGGAACGCCTTATGTATTTTCTCCTGCAACAGCCACTGCATTGAAACGTCCGCGTACTAGCACTTTCCATAACTGATTTTGCAGAGGGGGTCCCGATTCCAGACACTCGTTTAAGAAGGGAGCTGCATCATAGGCTCTGGCGGAGGCGTCATAGACAATTCGCATTTTCGTCGTCTCTGAACTCTCTCTGATAACAGCTTTGTGAGGAATGTAGAATTCCTTCACCTAGGCGGGCTCTTCGGCTTCTTCAACAACGCTTTCTTCTAGTTGCTGCTGTATTATGGCATCATAATCTTCCAATTTGCCGTTCTGTTTTAGGCGCTGTACTAGTGAGGCAAGGCGCTTAAGGCTTCCGGTCTTTTTATTAGGCAAGCGGGGATGGCCACCTTTCCAAGGGAGCGCAGTTTCGTACCATCCCTCTGGACTACGTTTAAGCTGTTCAAGGAACTCCTGGTGCACAACGTCCTGATCTCCGATAGGCGTATCTTGTAATCCCAATACGTCAATACGGCACAGTTCTTCGTAGTCTCCAATTGAGGTCTGTGTCAAGAACATGTTTGAGAGTCAACTTCAGCATCTGATGACATGATCGTCCACCCGAACCTGGTCTGCTCGGCAATAGGCTCGCCCACGGCTTCTGCGCACTGATAACCGGCCATCTTGATCTTCGTGTACTCATTTGCCCCCAGTATCACATGGATGGGAAGGATTTCCTTTTTGTCGGTTTCTTCCATTCGGACACCTTTAAGATGTGGATATCGCCCCAGCATCTCAGGATAGTTAGGATTCTTCAGGGTTAGTAGCTCACGCTGTTCGATTTTCGTCACGCAGACTGGTAGCACGCACAGATAACTGTACAATCACTAGGCTTGTGTGAGGCATTATTGCAGAAAACACACCCCCGTGGTGCATTCGGGTCTTGGTCTTCTACGTAAAAACTTCTGTCACGGGATTTCGCGATTTCACGCGGGTGAATCTCCTTCCACTCGCGAAGGGCGTTGATAAGCTGAGTGAAATCCCACGTTTTCCAGTCCGGTTTTCCTTGAACTAGTTCCGCTTTGATTCCCGACAGCTTGTTCAGGGCTCCTCGAACCAATGCCTTGCAATCCGACGTTTTTCCTAGGGTTTCATGCGACTGAACGTTGTACAGGAGTGTCTCGAAAAAATCGTGAATCTTCGCGGGATGTGTTCCGGAAATAACAGGGAGTCCTCGGATGTTTTCCACATAGGCATTAATAATCTCGTTTGTCTGGTCGTAATTTGTTTGAGGAATATTTTTCGCACGCTCGTAGCCTTCTGATGTAAAGGGTAGGCCATCGATCCCCTTTCTCACTCGCGGCTCTACTAACTCCTTTAGATAGACGAATTTCGTGGCCGCAGGCAGACCCGTCTTGTCAATCTCCGCCTCAAATTTGTTCCAAAATGCCAACCAGTTGTCAAGGGCTCCATTGTACTTCATGATGACAAGCTTCGGAAGTTTGACATTCTGTTTACTCGTAGAGGCAACCTTTTCCTTTTCGAACTCTGCCTTCTGCTCCAGTTGCTGTCTTTCGAACTTTAATTGTTCTTCACGCTGGCGGGCCAACAGGGTCTCCCTTGTTTCTCTTTCTTCATTCTCCGCATCAGCCACCAATCGTTTCACACGCTCTTCGAGTAAAGTGATCTTCGTATCTGTGGCGTCGATTTTCAATTCGAATTCTTTCCCCCATTCTTTAACTTCGTCTAAGGCCTCCCCACCTCCAAGCTTGGCTTGTTCGACCTCTCCCTTTATTTCTTCCGCGCCGATAACAATGCTCTGTAAAGCTTCTTTATGTTGACGAATTTTCTCGGTGATCCCGGTACTAATAATACCCTCTGTCTTCTCGTGGGTGAGCTCCAAAAGCTGTAGTTTTGCTTTCAGTTTTCCGATAAGCGTCTCCATTATTCTCACGATCCCGTCGGTGGTGCCACTTTTGTCGTGAATGCTAACGCAGAGACTTCACGATTTCACAGTTTCAAGGGTTTATTCCAAATAGGAAAAGTTCACTGCCAAAGGTACACACGGAATCTGAACCCAACTAACCAAAAAGAAAATTAAGATAACATGCTTAAAAACAAGGTATTGAAATTGATCCCTTAATGATATATATTCCGATCACTACCACGATAATTAAGTGTCCATCTTGATTGTCACGCAATGTTGTAATCTCACACACTTTCTTATCATCTATTCAGGGGACTTGTGTGTGGAAAAGACAGAGATGCTCATTATCTCACTTTAAATCTAATTTCTCCTTTATCGGTCAATCATCCCTGTCCCTCCCACAAGGGAGTCCCCACAGGAATTTTGACCAGTCTTAAAAGGTACATCAGCTCAGGTTTAACATGCTTACATTGGTAGCCTTTTAGTTATAAAAGATTGTTTGGGTGGTATTAATGTAATGTATGATGAGTACCAGTATGAGCTAGTCACTAGTACACATTGCCATTGTTATTTTGTTGTACATTCTGTTAGAAATTGCCATGTAATCAGCTTTTAGTATTGTAGTTCTATTATTTAGCTTGTAAATATTGCATAGCGTATTTGAGCTCTTTTTCATCTTTTGTATTTTAGTGTTACTCGTTGCTGTTTTTTCCTACTACGTCGATGTTTGTTTCAATAAACTCGTGAATCTTAGCTCAAAACTTTTGTCGGTTCTTCTGTCAACCATTGTGGCCATCTTTCATTTTTGTATTAGAAATGGGATTTGAGGAGACCTTAAGAAAAGTTTAAACCGGAATGGGCTATTAACTTTAACAGGATGACTGCAGGGGTCCAATTAAAAGAGCTCATTGATAAGCTGGCAGCATTGGAACAGCTGCTCTAGGGACAGGCTGGTGCTAGTGCCTCTGCTGGTACTTCAAGTGCAAAACCCAACTAGGTCACTGTGAAAAGTAACCCGGGAAGGAAAGCTGAAGAAGTTTGCTGGAGGCCAAGGCATCACCATGCTGTTGATGTAAAGCACACAACCGCTGGGTATACTGAGCAAAACGCAGTGGACTTCCTGCTGTATCATCTGGAAGGTGCTGCCGGGTGAGAGATCCATCTGCGCCCCACTGAGGAGGAAGCCGACAGAACAGCAATTTTCAAGATCCTGCATAGCGTATTTGGAGAAGGGTTTACCTCTACCCAGGCCCTGAGTAAGTTCTTCGAGCGCTAAGAGAAGAAAGGGAGAGAGCATGAGTACTCTCATACTCTTACGTTTCTCATCACCCGTGTACAGTGCCTGGACCGCGACTCCAGTCAGCAGTATCTCTAGCAGAAGGTCCTAGTGCTCTAGAAGATCAGTTAACAACAGATTCTCCCGGCAGCACAGAGATATGTCCAGGAATGCACGTAGTGACGAAAATGGCAAGCATTACCAGCCCTCTGGCGATTTTTCGCTGTTTGTGCCAAATTTGCAAATTTTGCCATTTTCGCCCAACTCGCCACTCTTCAAGGGGCCACTTCTGCCATCTAATTTAAATCGCCAGCCCTTTGGCGACTTTTGCCATTTTCGTCATCCGAATTTGCCATTTTTGCCAAAATCGCTCAATTTCGCCCAAATCGCCCTTTTCACCAAAATCGCTGCTCTCCAAGGGGCCTAGCTTGCGTAGCAAGCGTTTCCGTGCGGTTTAGGAGCAAAGAAGCCCAATAACTCGAACCTCTTGCTAGCTCTAACCAAAGTCGATTTTCCTCGGATTTCTTTCATACATTTACTGTAATTTTACCCTCGGTAACTGGAACCTTCGATAATTCGAACTTCCCGCTAACTAGAAGTAAGTTTTGTTTCCCTTCAGATCATTTCTGTGTTAATTTTACCTTCGATAACTCGAACCATGTTTTTTAAAAGCGCGTAACAAGTCGAAGCATCGACTTTATTTCAAAACAACTGTGTCAATTCATTGTCTTTATTTTTATGTCACTCTAAAGTTCAAATTCAGTGCCCATCCCTGCCTATTAAACAAGCTTTGTTCTCTATTTCTTTCTTTAAAATATCAATATACATCTCTTGCTGCCCTTGAAGTGAAGTGTGCATGATACTTGCGTTCCCTCTCCATCCATTTGCTCATTTCCTTTCTAGCAAGAGAGGATAACTATTGTTTTTTCGTTTTCCCTAAAAGGTTATCGGGAGTCAACTGTACCCCTGTAACCGCAAGTCTTCAACAGACGAAACCGAGTAACCCTTTTGTTCGACTTTTGTAGATAGCGTAATGTGGCGCCAGCTACCCTTTTTACGGAATATGTAGCCTGCGAGCAAGTTCTTCTGTTGTTTCCGGGGATACGGGGGTAGGGGAGGGAAAAGGGTAATTTCCTAGAATCTTAAGTAATAGTAACCTATAGGTTTATTTTTTATTTGTTTGGGAAGTGTCATTGCTTAAGTCGTCTCATTTGTGTTATGCATTCGGTAAGATATGTTGATGTCCTCAAATTTCATCACTTTGTTGTTTCTAGTGTATTAGTGTAACTGGTTCCCGTTTTTTTTCTACAACGTTGTTCTTTGATTCAATAAACTCAAAAATCTTTATTCAAATCTGTGTTAATTCTTGCGTTGAGTGTTTTTTCCTTCTTACACCGAGACTACTGAGTAACTTGCCTGCGAGCAAGCTGTCCATATTTGAGCTTGCTGGCAGGCTACTCATGATGAGGTCATTGCATATCTGTCTAAATGCAGTAGTGGTCGCAGCAACGGCTGGGTGGCTACAGACAGGAAAAGGCGTTTACGAAAATTGTTTATCAAGTCATTGTTATCTTACGGTGAACTTATAGAGTGAACTTAAAATATGATCAGTTTGAAGCTCCTTTGTGATAAGAATCAACATTGCATACTTATTCTTTTAGTTTGTAGAACAAAAAGGTGATGATGGAAGCGTAGTTGCTGTAGATACAGGAGAGCGATGCGTGGGATTTTGTGAAGACTATAAACCTGATGACAAAGTTTATAAAATTCAAGAAGGATTTTTTATTAGCTCGCAAGATGGGGCTCAAAACTTGGAGGAACTTAAAAGGCAGAAAATTACTCATATTTTAAATGTAGGATCAGGAATAAAGAATGCTTTTCCTCAGGTAAGAAGGTTTTTCAGTGTTACATACTCTGTTCACGAAAACACTGAACAGCATATTAAAGACCCTATTTAAGGCAACTTACATAAACTGGGGATTGGTGATTTCCCGGCTGTAGAGGGGAGCCTAGCAAGTTACAGTTAGTAAATAAATGAGGTGTGAGGAAAATATTTTGTGCACTCGATTTTTTTCCCAGAATACACCTGGGACAGCAGACATTAAAATACCTTTTTTCCCCGGGATGGAGGGTACTCCTAGAAATTCCTTGGCAGGGCTGTGCTGCCTAGTGCTCCACATCCTGACCTTTCTTCCACACCCTTTTTCAGACCTGTCTTCTGAACTATTACTTAGCTTGCTAACCAAATTGCGTTAATTGAAGTCACCATTTTGTTTTTTATTTCTTTTAGCAGTATTTGACAGTGAATGTTCTTCCACTTACCCCCTTTGATCACTTGGAGCTTGAAAGACACACCTCTGTATGCTCTGGCGGTTCCCTTGAAAACCAAACCTGATTTCAGACCATAATGAGCAAAGTCTATTCCCGTTTTGAAGCGGAAACGGCTCAAAAACCATACCCTTTGGGATAGCACATATCCATGCTGCTAATATAGGGTAGTACTGACCAGAGCTATTTCCTCGAGTAAAGGGCGGCTAGCCTGCGCAAGAAGGCTAAATACCGGTGTGATGTCTTTCCAACCAAGGCCCCGTTCCCCTAATGACGAAAATTTTATGTTTGACAGGAATTTACTTATATGGATGTTGAACTGCTGGATTTGCCAGACACACAGATTTGCATTCGCTTTCCAAAGATGTTTGAGTTTATAAAACTTGGAATTGAAAATGGTGCTGTTCTTGTTCACTGGTGAGCTGCTCTTTAATAACCTTACCTAACATCCTATTCCTTCATTTCTGCTCTTTTATCAGCTGTTCGCATTATAGTTGTTGTTACCTAGTGAAAATAAGCATACAGTTTTTCAAAACTGCAACAGAACACCTAATTAAGCTGGTTTATGCCAGCGGTATGTTTGACGCCCGGTACATGATCAGAGTATTATGCTGGCATGATCCGTCAGTCCCTTGTCATTCCTTATATAAGCCTTTTAACAAAATGCAACGATTTATGAGGGATACTACATGTATTACTATAAAATGCAGAATCCATCGTCCTCACACACAACTAGGAGCCATGCCAAGCCGACCATGCAGCCCGGCCTTTATTATATCAACACTACAAATCATTAGTGCACTAGCACCAAAAGAGAGCTAACAAAACAGCTGAAACTGAGCCTACAATAGATTAACATACAAGAATAACTGGAACTAAGGCACTACTTGAAATCCTACAACCCAAAAAACACATGCAGGGTGGGTGGGCGGGGAAGGTCAGGCAATGGCGGAAGGCAACCAAAACAACTGAACTCTGAAACGCCACGTGACCTGAAGACCCCCCGCACACTCGAACTTATACTCCCAACCGTGTGTGAGAAAAACATTTTCAACTTCTTTCGTTCCCCAGCCAGCTGAAAACCACACTTAATCAATATGGGGTACACATGCGTAACTCTCCTATGGGGTTGACGAAAGTCATCGATGACTGACTGACTGACGTTTCAACTTCTGTGGAATTCAATATTAGAGTCACCGAGGCATCTCTAACTCTAATTTCCACAGGCTATCAAAATGTTGTCAAACAACAACCGTATTCAGAACTACACTCACCTATATGATACTTGACCTATTTCGTCATGATTTCAAAGTTTAAACCATGAACTGTAACTTAAAATAGTCTCTCGAGAAGTGAACTATGAACCTGATAAAACCAATAATGAAATATTAATTTCTTGCAGTAATGCTGGAGTTTCACGGTCTGCAACTGTAGTGCTTGGTTTTCTGATGTCTACGTACAGTTTATCGTTGGAAGATGCCTTGATCATTGTTAAAAAGGCCAGACCATGTGTAAAGCCAAATGAAGGGTTTCTGCAACAGCTTCGAGATAACGAAAAACGGCTTGGAATATGAAATACAAAAAGTAATTAATTCCAAATATAAGATTCTGGTTATGACGTCGACTTTATGTCCCAGACGGGGTGAAGAGGTTGAGTGAGTGAGCGATAACATTCTAGATTGTTCGAGGTGCAGTGCTTAGAAATATTATTCCTAAAGACAGCTAAACAAAGGCGGATCCAGGGATGTGTTGACAGAGTCGAGATAGAAGCAGTCAATTTTGTTTTCAAAGTTCAGTATTGTGAGTTAAGCAACATCAGCGGTTCTATTTGACTTCTTGTTAGATTCGGTCTGACCCACCTTAGCACGGAACGTACCGCATGACGTTGGAAACGGGCCCAAACTGAATTCACATGCGCGCGGTGTGATTGATTTTTGAGACCCTTCCAAGGGAACTTTAATGTGATACAACTTCCTAGAGTGCTGTGGGATTAACTTCACACCGTTAATACGACCACGCTCATTGCAACGTGATCAAAAGGAAACAAAGTGATTAAAAGGAAACAATTCAAAGCCCTCAGTGTTCTTACGGCCACAAATCCGTTATATGGTCTGTTATGTTCTTCATTTAGGGCCTGTTTACATGGAGGTGGGTGACCCCAGATGGGTAAGGTAACATTTGGTGGGTCACCCCACCTATCATGTAAACATGATCAAATTAAAATGAGAGATTATATGGACAGGCGGGTTACCTCACCTACCTGGGGTCATCCACCTCCATCTAAACAGGCCCTTAGATACACAGCCGGCCATGCAAAGTATTTGTTTAAAAGATAATATTAAATTCCTTATTGAATTTCAAACTTTAGTATATAGAAGATTTTTTTCTTAAGCAAGGCGTGATAATCATTAAGGTGTATGTCTTTTCATTTATTGATTTAATTATGATTTACAATTTTAACAATCCAGTGATAATTATTATCCTCTATACTTGTTTCCTCTGGCTGTTCTGTTTCTTCTTCTAGTTTATCGGTACTTCACGATATCAAGCGAAACTTTGGGCCAGTCTTATTTTCCTTGGGGTCTCTATTCTCCTGGGCAGGATCGTTTAGCAATCTCGCAGATTTCATTCCTCCGTATACGCAGTTCGCTCTGCAATCACGAATCATAACTTGTTGGAGAACAATAAAAAACCGGAAATAGCGGGAATATAAGGGGTTGTTTTCTATCCTTGGGAGAAGCGGAATGGGGCGTGAGGGGGGCTTGCCTCGGATGTTACAGACCACAGATTTTTTCCGTATTGTTCCCACAATTTTGGGGGCCAGAAATTCTTTTTTTCACAATATCTGTCCATTTATTTTGGCTTAGACATATTTTGGTGACCCTCAGAGGAGCCGAGAATATTGCTTCTATCCTGACGATTTGTGTTATAGTGTTATTAGTCGTAAGTTTTTGTATAGCAGAAATTTTGAAACGATTACGCCAGAGAGATAGCTAGAGATAAAGGAATCACTATGTAATTTGTATACATACCCCCACATGGATACTTCTTTTGTTCAGTATTTTTACGCAAGTTGTTGTCTCAGAAAGTTTGTCCAATTTCTAATAAAGTCAACATTTTTCGCGCAAATACCGTACGAGTTCTCTTTCCATGCGGAAGGAAGTACAGTGCAACCTCGATATAACGAACCTCGATCTAACAAAATTCTCGTTACAGCGAACACGATCCACCAGCGCAAACGTAAAATATACCTCGATATAAGAGGGTCTCAATGGGGTTAACCGATAGGCGTAAAACGGCCAAAAATTTAGTCGATAGCCGTAAAAATTGAAAAATTTTAACCGTTAGCCGTAAATAGGGTAAAAAAAAGTTAACCGTAAAAGAAATTGTTACCTAGATTTGCTACTTTTAAGGAAGGTGCTAAACTTACTTATGGTTGTGTTTTTTACTTCCCGGCTAGTGTGACTCCGTACGCACGTTAGGCGAAGCGCCTTTTAGGTGTTAACCAAGACCTAGGCACACGCTAGAGCTAGAAATTGATCATCCTTCTGAGACTAGCCTGTGTACAGTCGCGCCCTCCCCACAGACACCCCTTCTCTGATTTTTCTGCGGGGGAGGGGGCAGCTGTACACTGGCTATCTGGAGCGGATAATCCTGTCTTCAAAAGTCAGGCGGATTGTTCATTCAAAATTAAAACTATTCCATTTTCAGATTAAGACGTATTACCTATCTGACGCGAATCAACAAACGAATAACCCGTCTCACACGAATAATCCTTCTCTAATGTGAAAACGGCTATTTCTGCTATAATGAATGTCGCGCCCCGGCCTTGAGTTAGGCGTTTGCGTGTCTGCTTTTGCTTTTTCACGAAGATTATTTTCAAATTATCTATTGACATTTCTATGTGTCAGGAGCCCCTGTATGTGTAAAATAATGTGTTAGAAGTGGAATACTTTTTAAAAAGTATGATATATAAAATGTTAAAATTTTTCAAAAGAATAGCTTATTTCATCCCGAGATGATCCGAAGACCTTTATCTTGATTTAAAGATACAAAAAAACGGGTTAATTAATATTTAACTTTTTGAAACAAAAGAAGTTAATTTTTAACTTTTTCGTTAACCGTAACTGAAAAAAATTAACCGATAGCCGTAAAAGAGCCAAAATTTTAGCCGGTAACCGTAAAAGCCACCACCCCATTGGGACCCTCATATAACGAATAAATGTCAGCTCGTGATAAAAGATGAATGCCAAACAGACCAATTACGGTAATTTTTCAGATCCGGAAATGCTGGGCTTTGTAAATTAATGATTAACTATACTTCGATTTAAGGTACATTTTAGTAGTTTTTCCGAAAACTTGTTATATGGAGGTGTTCGATATAACGATCCATGGATATAACACACAAATTTCCCCAGTCCCCTGGCACTTCGTTAAATCAGGGTTCCACTGTATTCTCGGTTAATGTGAAAAAACAGCTTACCTTTGGGCTCAAGAAACTTTGCCTTAACAGAAGAGGAACTGATTCCCGGGCTGATTCCCTTTCTTGTTGCTGCACCGAATAAAGAAAGCAAAACAAATTCAACAAATGAATGACGAAAAGGAAGCCTGGACAGAGCACTTAATTGAACCTTTGTGCTCTTGTATATGGTATGGTTTGATCTGAAATTGGGTTTTTAGGAGACGCGGTTATCGTTATTATCATGTGGATATCAAGATTCGCTCCACTACTTCACGATGGTCATATAATTATTTGGGATCGGTCCAAAAGCGTTCCTACAACAATAGGTACAATTCTTCTCTTGACCTTCATAAGTTTTCTAACTTCTCTTGTGATATTATCAATTTTATCTTTCTCCTTCAGCTCCATCCTAGCATCTCCTTGTACACCTACGGTATGTCAATAGTTTAGCAAGATTGTTGTTGTCTATTCATCACAACTAAGTCAGGTCTCTTGTTGTCAGTCTGTATGCTAAAATCCCAAAGGACTGTAGACTTTCTCAAGGGACTTACTAATACCATTTGTCAGTCCATTCCAGTCTGTATTATTATTATTATTATTATTATTATTATTATTATTATTATTATTATTATTATTATTATTATTATTATTATTATTATTACTACTACTACTACCAAGCCCCTAATGCACGCCTTGACGTCCACTGTAGGGGTTTCTGGGAGCGAAAGAGGGCTGCATTTTTGGATATAAGGGCGTGTCATCCCAATGCGGACTCGTATAGAGTTCTTAGCCCCAAGCAAATCGACAGGATTCATGAAAATGAAAAAAAGCGAAAATACAACTCTCGCGTCACAGAAATAGAGCAAGGCACATTCACCCCACTGGTATTTACAACGACGGAAGGGATGGCTGACGAATGCCTGAGATACCACTCAAGATCAGCCGAGCTATTATCTGCAAAAAAGCAAGAGAGCTACGCCACAACAATTTCATGGGTCAGGGCGAAAGTGTCCTTTGCAATTTTGCGGAGCGTGCTCCTATGCGTAAGGGGATCGAGAACCCCGAAAAGGAGGAACTTAGATGTTACGGACAGGGATCTAGAAATAGAGAGGGGTCAAGCAGGACTTCCCTAGACTCAACAGCTATAGATACTTTATTATTGGGATGTACATAGAAATTTTTCATTTTGTAGTTTATAGACAGTTGTTTACATTTCCTCTGTTGAAAACCACCGGACCACCAAGAAGTCTTTTTTAATTACAGTTATACTAAATTTGTATTTAATTTTCAAGTATACTAAATTTGTAATTAATTTTCAAGTTTATTATTATTATTATTATTATTATTATTATTATTATTGAGATCGGCGTTAGTTTGTCTTAGAGGCTCTAGGACAAGAAGAGTGTCATGTGACATTAAGAATGTTGATATTGACGTCGAAGTTGTTGAAGGAGCCATTCAATCGGACTATTGATGTGTTTCCTTACTTTTAAATGGCAAATATTCGTCATTAAGATATTGTGAACGCTATTTTATTTTCCTCTTTTTTAGTGATTTTTTTAGTGATTATCTTAGTAAGAATGCAATTGACCTTGAAAAAAAAATTTCTTCCTTTTTTATTCCAAATGAATTGTTTCAATTGAAATGAAATGTTCTTAATTTGAATAATTTTTGTTTAATGAAATGAATTTTTTCTAATCAAAACCAGGTAAGTGTTTTTTTTTTTTAAACGGAAGGAATTGTAAATAGTGTTTTGACGAAATAGTTTTTTTTTAAGTGAATTAATTGTAAATAGGATTTTAATAGTTGGTATGTTATCAATGAAATATGCTAAATTTATCATTATTATTATTATTATTATTATTATTATTATCATCATTATCATCATTATCGTCTTAATTATCTTAAAATGCTGACGCTATTCGAAGCAGTTCTTAGGTAACTTGAATCATGAATGACTGTCTGTGAACAGCAACGGCTGGTTTAAAATATTAAAATATTAAGTAAGTAAAGGAGTAAAGGTTTTAAATTTAGCAAAGGTTTTATTGGCGAAATTTTTCTGACCTGCAGTTTGGTGTTTCGTTTGCCGTTTCTGAAGACCCCACCTCTTCC